GGTACTGGAGAGCTCCAGCCTGTGGGTGCTGGCCAAGGAGGGCCGGCTGTGCCCCAACCCTCCCAAGCACTTCATGGGGAAGGCACAGAAGTACGTGCTGCTGGGTGATGCCACCTATCCCTTGCAAGACTGGATTCTCAAGCCCTACCAGGAGGATGAGACCCTCACTCAGCGGCAGCTACAGTTCAACTACCGCCTGAAGCGGGCGCACAGCGTGATTGAGAATGCATTCCTGCGCCTGAAGGCACGCTGGCAGATCCTCCTCAAGTGTGATGACTGCAGCCTGGAGCTGCTGCCCACCCTCGTCCTTGCCTGCTGCATCCTGCACAACGTTTGCGAAGCCCACGACAACCCCTTCAACCAGGAGTGGCTGGAGGGCACTGAGCCCACTGAGCTGCCCAAGCCCTGCCAGCCTGCACCCACTGCCATGGAGGATGGACGAGCTGAGCAAGTGCGGGAGCTCATGTGCCAGTACTTCGAGAGCTGCGGGGAGGGAAGATCTGGGGAGGGATGATGGGACTGGGGTGGGAAGGAGCAGCCCTGCACATCCCTGCTTGTGGACTTCCTCCAGCAGACATTGGTCAAGTGGTACCATGCTGCTCGGCAAAGGACTGTGTCCTCCCATGTCCAGTAAGGGCTGCTGACTGCATTGGCCATTCCCAGGATGGGGAAAGGGGGTGGCTGCATTGTCCTCATCCTGTTTTTGCCACTTGTTTCAGGCAATGGAATGTATTTTGTGCCCTTTACTCTCTTCCAGGCATAGAGCAGTCTGGCGGTGTGTGGTGAGAGGAAAAGGTGGGGAGCGGGGCTGGGTGGGTGGGTGCTGCCTGGGTTTTCTGGGGAGCATGGCTCTGTCCAAAGGCCGTTCTGTCAGGCTGAAACCAGGAGGAGCCCTTGAAAACACTCCAGGCTTGGGGAAAAGCAGCTGGAAACTGCTCACGGAGAAGGATCTGGAGGTGCCAAGTGATGGAGCTGAACTTGAGCAGCTTGTGCCCAGGCAGCCAAAAAGATACCAGCATCCTGGCCTGTATGAGCACCAGTGTGGCAGCAGGGACAGGGCAGTGGTTGTGCCCCTGCACTGGGCATTGGTGAGGCCGTGCCTCGAATCCTGTGTTCAGTTCTGGGCTCCTCACTACAACAGAGACATTGAGGTGCTGGAGCGGGGCCAGAGAAAGGCAACGGGGTTGCTGCAGGGCCTGGAGCACAAGTGTGATAGGAAACAGCTGAGGGACCTGGGGGGTTCAGTCTGGAGAGAAGGCTCGGGGGTACCTTACTGCTCCCTGCAAGTGCCTGACAGGAGGGTGGAGCCAGGAGGGGCTGGGCTCTGCTCCAAGGAACAAGGCTTCAAGCTACACTAGGGGAGGTTTAGATGGAGACTGGAACGATCCCTTCTCCCGCAGCCCGAGTCCCTCCCCGGAGCCGTTCGCCTCAAGCTCATGGTCCCGGGGCCCCGCTCACGCCCGGGCTGCGGCCGAAGCCCTCCGCGGCTCCCGGCAGCTCCGCCGCGGTGGGGCTGGGCGCAGCCGCAGGCGGGCACGGGGACCCCGCTGCCTGCGCTCGCTGCCACCGCGCATGCGCCAGCCCCACTGCTCTGCGGCCAGAACCACTCGGGGGGGAGGGAGGGCCCCATGGGCGGTCCCGGAAGTGCGGAGGTAGGAGCTGTGGCGCAGTCACGTGGCTGAGCAGCATGGCGGACCTCGGTGAGTGCGGGACCGGTTTCGTGTGACCCCCCCCCCTTCCCAGGCTCGTCCGGTCCCATCCCCGCTCTGCGGGGCGTCCGGTGGAACCGGGTCCCGCCGGTACAGGCGCGGGGTCTCCCCTCCCCCAGCTGACCCGCCGGCGGCCTAAGGCCTCCCTCACTTCCCGTGTGCAGGACCGTGACCGGAGCCCCGCGTGCCACAGGCCCCGCTCCCCTCCGGTGTGATGGTGATGGAGGCGGAAGTGAACGCCGTGGGCCGGGCCCTGGTGGACACGGCCCAGCCGCTGCCCTCCCGGTTCCGGGCCCTCTTCACCTTGCGCAACTTGGGCGGCCCCACGGCCGTGGCCTGGATCGGCAGCGCCTTCGGGGACGACTCTGCGCTACTGAAGCACGAGCTGGCCTATTGCCTGGGGCAGATGCAGGACGAAGCAGCCATCCCAGTGCTCGTCCGTGTGCTGCAGGACACCAGCCAGGAGCCCATGGTCAGGCACGAGGCCGGTACGATGGCTGCGGGTGCAGGGAGGGGGTAGCTCGTAAGTGGGACTTTTGGGTGCTGCTGTCGGCACCAAACAGCTCCTGATGTGGAGCTGCTTGGGTTACTCCAGAGGAGGCCATGGAGCTGCTGCGGGGGCTGGAGCAGCTCTGCTCTGGAGCCAGGCTGAGAGAGCTGGGCTGGGTCAGCCTGGAGAAGAGAAGGCTCCTGAAGGGGAGACCTGAGAGCAGCTCCAGTGCCTGAAGGGGCTGCAGGAAACCTGGAGAGGGGCTTTGGACAAGGGCCTGTAGGGACAGGCCAAGGGGAATGGCTTTAACCTGCCAGAGGGGAGACGGAGATGAGCTCTCAGGCAGAAGCTCTTCCCTGGGAGGGTGCTGAGGCGCTGGCACAGGCTGCCCAGAGAAGCTGTGGCTGCCCCATCCCTGGCAGTGCTCAAGGCCAGGTTGGAAACGGGCTTGGAGCAAGGTGCTCTAGGAGAAGGTGTTCTTTAAGGTCCCTTCCAACTCCAACCATTCTATGATGGCCTCATCAAGCTTGGGTGTAAGGGCTGGGAGGATCCTGAGGAATGCAGCCACTTCACCACATGGCACTGGCTGGACTGGTTGGTGAGCCTCCCCATTCCCACTGGCCAGGTTCCTGCTGTGGTGGTTCCTGCTGTGGTGATTTCTCTGGCTGTGTCTTTTAGCACCGGTCAGTCAGGGCCATGTCCTCACTTCAGAGCAGGGCGAGGCTTTGCTGGAGAGCAGAGAAGATACCCTGCTAGTGCACTGACACATCATTCCTTCAGGTGAAGCCCTGGGTGCTATTGGGAATCCTGATGTGCTGGATATCCTGAAACACTATTCAGAGGACCCTGTGGTTGAGGTGAGGCTCTTGGGTGGGGGGCTGGAGGGGGTTTCATTTCCCTGGTGATGGGTACACAGGGAACAACCTGCTCCAGTGGAAGGTGTCCCTGCCTGTGGCAGGGGGGTGGAGCTGGAGGAGCTTTAAGCTCTCTTCAACCCAAACCAGGCTGGGATTTCATGATTCTATGAAAAACTTCCTCCTGCATGCTGACTCCTTGCTGTCTTAGTGAAGCCCATTCCCATCCATCCCACAAGGGCTCTGTCCTCATCCCTGCAGGTGGCTGAGACATGTCAGTTGGCAGTGAGGAGACTGGAGTGGCTGCAGGAGAACAAGCAGAATCTAGGCAGCAGCCCCTACCTCTCTGTGGATCCTGCGCCCCCTGCGGAGGAGACGGATGTCACCAAACTCCGTGAGACCCTCCTGGACGAGTCCCAGCCACTGTTCGACCGCTACAGAGCCATGTTTGCCCTGCGGAACGTGGGGGGACGTGCTGCTGTGCTGGCACTGGCGGATGGTGAGGGCAGGCTCTGTGCTGTAACACTCTATAGGTTAATCCAGGATTAGCCTTTCCCAAATCCAGAGCTTTGAGGCTCCTTTTGGGCTCTTCACCTGTGTGGTTCCAGAGCTGCTGCCTGCTGCTTGCTGCAGGAGCCACATTGCAAAGCACTTGGTGCTCTCTTGTGTTTCACAGCCCCTGTAATGTCCTCCCTTGCTCCGTGGGTCCGAGTGAGAGAGAGCACAGGCTGTAATATTGGCCAGGGACCAACCAGTCTTACCTGATGTTTCTTGGTATGACCTGGGCCCTGCTCTCAAGCTGGAAGCTGCCAACCTCCTCTTGGGGTTTGGGAATAGCTTTAGAGAGGGGAGTAAATGTCCCCTGGGTGGGGAAAGGGTGAACCACAGCCCAGGAACTGTCTGGGTGCACAACCCAGCATGAGGGAAGCATTTGAGGCTCTCCAGCAGTCTGTGACAAATAGGTAGTTCCTGCTGCAGCTCTTCAGCCCCACAGCATGGCAGGACTTGAGATGCCAGTACCCCCAGGCACCTTTTGCTGGTGGAGCAGGGTCCATGGGCAGTGCAGTCTCCCCAGGGCAGGCAGAGGTGACAGCAGCTCCATCACAAGAGAGTCTTTCTGTGCCAGAGCTGCTGTGGCCATGCAGGCTCGGAGCAGGTGGGATACCCCTTCCCATAGGTATTTTGTCCCTTCCCCTGTGGTCTGTGGCAGCGACTGCCAGCTCTAACCCACCAGGTGTGCTCCCCATGGCTTTGGGGTTGGGTGTGGGGCTCTGACCACACACACCGTGCCCTTCGGGGCCGTGGCAGCTCACTCTATGCTCTCCCCACAGGACTGCGCTGTGGTAGTGCCCTGTTCCGCCACGAGATTGGTTATGTGCTGGGCCAAATGCAGGACGAGGCCTGTGTCCCACAGCTGACGGCTGCGCTGTGCAGCCTCACCGAGAGCCCCATGGTGCGCCATGAGTGCGCCGAAGCGCTGGGCTCTATAGCCCACCCCTCCTGCCTGCAGACCCTGCGCACCTTCGCCTGCGACGCAGAGCGCGTGGTGCGCGAGAGCTGCGAGGTGGCCCTGGACATGTTCGAGTACCAGAGTGGGGACCAGTTCCAGTATGCTGATGGGCTTTGCAGGCTGCAGGCCTCAGCCTGAGCCCCAGCTCTGGAAGGTGCAGGATGGGGATGCTGCTTTCTCCCCACCCCAGCAGCACTGTCACAGCCCTTTCCACAGATGTGGATCCATGCCTTGCTGCGGCAGAGGTGGAGGATGAACTGGATTCACTCTCTGGCACAATTACAGCTGCATTCTCCCTCCAAATCCAGGCTGAGCTGGTACTTGCCCTTCTCCCACCACCTTCAGTTTCCTGGATCTGCCTTTTTTTCCCTGCTTACCTGCAGCCTGGCTCAGAGCTGGGACCACGTGAGCTCTGTTCAGCACATCAGAGCCTGTTGTGGCCTTATGGGACCTTGGAGCTGCTTTGGGCTTGTGCTGCCATCGTGGCTCCATGTGGAAAAGCTCTGCTTTCTCTGGGGAGCTTTGCTGGAAGGCCGGGGCTGGCTTTGGGCACTCACTCTGGAGGCTGTAGGGATGTGATGCCTCAAAATCACCACTGGTGCTCGTGCTGAGCCGCATCCCTCCTTGCCTCTGCAGTGGAGGAGCTGTGTGTGTTTGGCCTGACCTGTCAGGGCAGGCCAGGGCTGTGCTTGCCACAGCCTTTGCCCTGGGATGGGCGTTGTTTCATGGCAGTTTGGAAGCCTTGGCTGCGCTTTGCTCTCTGCAGGGAGCGCCACTGCCATCGGGGCTACAGGGTGAGGCAGAGCCTGCCTGGACTTCCCCCACATTGAACCAGACCTGGAGGGGGCTGAGGTTAGGGTTTGCTGCTGTCACTCAGCACCCCCAGGCACCTGCTGCGGGTACAGGGCTTGGCTGACAGGCAGCTAAGTGCTGGCAGCAGGAGCTCCAGCAGGAATCCAGCGCAGTGCTATAGCCTGTGCCCTGGAGTGGGAAGCTCCTCCGGTTCCAGCCCCCTGCCACAGACAGGGACACCTTCCATTAGAGCAGGTTGCTCCAAGCCCCATCCCTTGAACACTGCCAGGGATGGGGCATCATCTACAACTTCTGTAGGTAACCCGTGTGCTCATTGCAAGTCAGACCTGCGTGTCCCAGTGCTGTGGATGGGGTCACCTGTGTGTGTCATGGAGCGTGAAGCCCACCAAACCTCTCTGTTTCTCAGCACTACAAAAACGTGACATTATTATACTGTTTTGGAGTCAGCAGCTCCCACCCTTTGCTCTCCACCATTCCCTGTCCAGGTTCACTTGGGCCACGCAGGGTTGTTTCTAAATCTGCACTGCCATTTGCCTCTGCTCCCCACAAGGGCCTTTTAAACCCAAGCTGGAACAAACCTGGCATTTTTGCAGCCAGGATCTGGCCAGGGGTGAGCTGGGTGCAGCAGAGCCAGGCTACAGTTCAGCAGCCCATCCCAGTACAGCCCAGTGCACCCCAGTGTGCCAGGGCAGAGCAGGACCTGGGTATTGAGCCTGGACTTGGAGCTGAACCTCATGGACACCTTCACCCCCCCTGGCCAGTGCTGGGTGCTGCTGCCACGTGCGGGGCTGACATAAAGCCCTGTGAAGGCAAGAGCAGAGCAAAGGGTCCCCATGGGCCCCCTTGGTGTCGGGATGTGGTGCCCATCACCCTGCCCATCTCCGCCTGGCATAGAGGTTGTCGCATCCTGTGCCTGCTCCCAGCATCTTGCACAATCTGCCCGTGGGACCTAACCAAGCCCAGGGGACTGGGAGAGGCTTTGGGCTGTGTCTGTTGTCCCTGCCATCCCTGCTTTTGGGGGTTCTCCAGCTGTGGGGGATTCCCCACTTCTGGGGAGATGGAGGGACCTGTGGAGCTGCCAGGGGGGCATATTCTGGATACCCTGGGCCATGTCACAGCTCCCCAGCCCCCCTCAGGTGGAGCCCGCCAGTGCTGTGCCTGGATTAGCGGGCGCTAAGCTCCTTCCCATGGATGCTCTGTCCCTTGGTGACTGGGGGGAGCTGCTGATGGCCCTGCCGGGGGGAACCCCACTCCCCAGCCCCAGGGAGGCCTGGGGGCCGCGGAACTTGCTGCAGTCTCCCCCCGAGGAGGACGGGGTGCTCTATGTGGAGTACAAACCCCCTGCACTGGACAGCATCCGCCTGCCCCGCTATGTGCTCTACCTGATGATGGCGTCCACCCTGGTGCTGCTGGTGGCCTACGCCATTGTCGGCCACCTCATCAAGGACCTGGTGCATGATTTTGCTGGTGAGTGCTACCTGCAGCGAGGGCGGATGAGGGGCTGCATGAGGTGGGTCACCCAGAGCCTTTGCTATGGGGCTGTGCTGCTGACAGCTCCATTTCTGCCCCCCCAGATTGGGCGTTCGGGCCCAAAGCGGAGGAGGAGAAGGTGGTGATGGCCAAGGGGACGGTGCCGGAGGTGGTGTGGCTGGAGGAGGATGGGACCCTGGGAGAGAGGGAGCTGGAGGGTGAAGGCGCAGGAGTGGTGCCGGGCACGGACATCGTGCTGCGACTGCTCCCATCCACCCCGCGCAGCTCCATCTCCTTTGCCGACTCCCACAAGAAGAGGCTGTTCTAGAGCTGGGGGATGCCCCATTCCTGCCACCACCAGCACCCCGGAGCCCTCCCTGCAGCCAGGTCCTCCTGCAGCCCTACAGCACTATCTCAGGGCTGCCATCGCTGCCCCCAATAAAGGCTCCTGCCCTGTCGCTGCTCGCTTGCCCCTTTGTTGTGCGCATGGGGAGGGGGCAGTCCTGGGACACCCTGACCTGGGGACAGCAGGGACATTCCCTGTGCTGGGCACAGGCACGTGGGGAGAGGCGCGTGTGTTACACACGTGTGGGGGTGTGAAGGGGATGCAAAACCCTGGCATGGGCGCAGGGGCATGGGTACACACACATGATCATGGACACGTGGGGATGTGCACTCGCAGGGAGGCCGATGTCAGCGTGACTGTACGTGCAGAGGGACAGACAGACACTGAGGCTGGGTTTGTTCCCGCTGGCACCCTGGTGCCCTGACCCTGCCAGGCTATGCCCTTTCCTCATGGGGCAGAGCTCAGGGGCACCCACAGGTGACACCCAAAGCTGGTCTTGGGGGTGCAAAGCTGCAGGTGGGGGCACTGGAGATGGGCTGCCTTGTCCAGATGCCCCCCCCCCCCCCTTAGACCCAGGCTGGGGCTCCACCCCCCTACCTCACACCCCCCCCCTTCAGCAGGGGCCCTCTCCCCAGGTCCCTGCAGGGGTTGCCATGGGCAGGGTACCCTCAGTCCATCCCCGAGGTGCTCCCGGGCATCCCATGCCTCCATGTTTCCATGTCCTGGTGGGTTGGGGCTGCACCCTGCCAAGGTCTCCTGATAACACCGTTAATGTTTAGCTCCCCACAGTACTGGGCGCTCCCCAGGGACATGACTGAGTCCTTCCAGCACTAGCCAATGCATCTGGGGCATAGATAGGCCTGAGGGCAGCTGCGGCTGGACTGGCACTACCCGTGCGTGTCCCCCTGTTCTGCTCTGTCCCCACAGCATGGCAGGTTGGGGGCTGTGTCTGTGGGGATGGAGCAGTGGCCTGGATCTGCCCCAGCACTGCCAGCTGGGACAGGGTGTGTAGCACCCCATGGGCAGAGGTGATAGACTGGATGGGGCACTGGGCCTTCCTTCCTTCCATCCATCCCTATCTCTATCCACCCGTACTGGACCCCAGCACCCACAGACCCGTGTCTGAACCAGTGCCGGTGCCACCTCCCAAGGAGCACGTTGCTGTGGTGTTGGTGGCACTTGTCCTCTCAAGTGCAATAAAAGCTGCTCCTTGGCCCCGGGTGCACAGAGCAGCACCCACACTTGCCCGTCACTGGCTTTGGGACAGGACCCACGTTGGGGTGCAGGATCCAGAGTGCTGCAGTCCTTTGCTGACCTCCCACCAAAGATGCTGAGGGCCTGGCAGCCCCTCTCGCTCCTGGTCCTGCTCATGCTCGCCACCACTGCCTGGGGACAGGACGGTAGGTGCCCCCATGCTGCCCATCTCCAGCAGGACCAGTCTGTCCCAGTGCCCTGGCAGTGACCACTTTGGGGGCAGAGCAGAGAGATGTGAGGGCACCCACCTGCTGCCCCCTGTGCTCCCTGCTGTCCCTGTGCTCTCCTGGGGACAGGTTGGCTGTGGAGGGTGGCACGGGACAGATGGTGGGGAGTGGGTGGTGAATGTCTGGGACCCTGTGCTGTGGGATGCGGAGTCCATCCCCTTCAGGATGGGGCTCCTCTGAAGCTGTCCCCATCCCTGGCTGTGCAGGCACTGGCCCCAAGGAGCTGCAGCCCTGGCTCGTCGGCCTCACAGCCGTCGTTGTCTTCCTCTTCATCGTCTTCATCCTCCTCCTCGTCAACCGGCTCTGGAAGCTCCGGATGCGCAGGTTGGGGGTGTTGGGCCGGGACGGGGGGGCGGCCATGCCCGAGGCCGAGCGCGGGAGCTGCAGGGAAGGGACAGGGCGTCCCGGAGCTCCGCTCACTCCTCTATCTCCTCTCAGGAAGCAGGGCGGCCTTCAGGACACCCCGCGGACCAGCAGGTACCACGGGCCGGGCTCTGCGGGGCTGCCACGGGACTTTCGCTGGGGGCCTCGCTGACACGGCCACATGCCCGGCGTGCCCTGAGCACGGCCAGAGAACACGGTGGCGGCCTCGTGCACCGTTTACCGTCCCTCCCGGCAGGCTGGAGCGCACCGGCTGCGTCAACCTGGCGGCTGAGAAGGGCAGCGGCGAGGAGAGCGACGGCGAAGGGCATAAGAAAGCTACGCCGCTGTGAGCCGGGGCCGGGGCCGGGGCCGGGGCCGGGGCCGGGACCCCCCCCCCGGCCATCGCGCCCCCACCCCAGTCTGCGGGCGCGAATCCGCGCCGGGTTTTGCGGCTGCGGCCGCGGAACGGGAGGTGTCGTGGGGCGGCTCCGGCTGCAGCCGCAATCCGGCGTGGATCCCCCGCAGGAGTGGATCCGGGAAGGCAGCGCAGGGACCCCCCGCACCCTCCATCCCTGCATCTGGCGGGTCCCCCCGTAGCGGGGGGGAGATGAACCCTAGTAAAAGTCCCCAATGTCAACCGTCTGGTGTCACTGCGCCGGGACGGGGCCTGTGGGGGTGTCGCAGGGACACCGGGGACCCCCTGGGTGGGGCGGGGCCAGTGGGGACCCCCAATTTGGGCCAACGCCGTCCTACGGGTGAGGGCAACGACGTCACACCGGTGAGGCGATGACGTCATTTGAGCAAGGCGGTGGCAGTGGGACCCCGCAGCTGCACCCCCCTGTGTCCCCTATAGACTGAGCGGGAGGGGGTGATGGGCACCCATTGCCCGCCATGACTCTGCTCCAGTGAACTCCAGTGCTCCCAGTGCACCCCAATCCACTCCAGTACAGCTCAGTGCACCCCAGTACATCCCAACAGAGCCCAGCACAGCTCAGTGCATCCCAGTACAGCCCAGTGCACCCCAATCCACCCCAGTACATCCCAGAGCTCCCCAGTACATCCCAATACATCCCAGCACAGCCCAGTACACCCCAGCGCACCGCAGCGGTGCCTTGGTGCCGGTGGCAAAGGAAGGCCGGAGGCGGGCGGGAGTTGAAGCAGAGCTCGTTTAATGTTTGTACATTTTCTGGCTTTTGTATTTTTTTAATGATTTTTATTTTTTCCTTTTTTTTTTGTTTTGTTTTGTTTTGTTCTTCCCCGTGTCAGTTTTTGTTTTGTTTTGTTTTGTTTTCTTCTTTTCTGTCTCTTTTTTTTTTATTTGCATAGGGGGAGGGTGGGAAACAACCGAAAAAAAACAAAACCCAACAAAAAAAAAGAAAAAAAAAGAAAAAAAAAGAAACAAAACAAACAGAACCCCCAACCGCCCCCCCCCTCCCCCCCCGCCCCGCGGCGGGGATCGGCAGCGGCTGCGCGGCGGGAGAACCGAGTATCGTGATGAAACGGGGGGGGGTCCGAGGGGTCCCGGGGGGTCAGTAACGGCTGCGGTGAAGCAAGAAGCGAGAATCCGGCTGCTCGAGGGGTACAAAGTGGGGGAGACCGGGGGGTGGGGAGGTTGGGGTGCAGGGGAGGAACGGAGGGGGTGCGGAGGGTAGGATCCCCCCAAAAGGCGGTGGAGCAGCCGGTAGCGCGGAGGCACTGCGGCAGGTTTTTGGTTTGTGAGGGGGCCCCGGCTGCCCCCCGAAAGGCGCCTTTTGGGAGGGTCCCTCCTTCTGCCGCTATTTGGGGGGGGGGGATGTTCCTCCCCCCATTACACACACACGCACCCTCCCGGGCTCCACCTCCGCTCCCGCCTGCCTGCTGGCACTGCTGGTGCCACAGGGGGGTTACCCCAGGGTGCTGCATGGGGGCATCCCCGGGTGCTGCTGCACGGGGTACCCGTGGGTGTTGCAAGGGGGCATCCATGGGTGCTGTAGGGAAGACACCCATAGGTGCTGCAGAGGGGTATTCCCGGGTGCTGCAAAGTGGCATCCATGGGTGCTCCCCACACCCGCAGCAGCAGCGCTTATAAACTCAAGAATACGTGAAAAACAAACCCAAACCAGAAACAAACCGACGACGGACACGCCATATATATATAGCGGGGTATGTATATATATATATATATATATAGTGATATTTATATATATATATTTCTTTGCGCTTTAAAGTACCTTTAGGTGCGTGCAGCCCGCAGGGCCCCCCTGTCCCGCAGCCCCATATATATATATGTGTGTGTGCGGTGGGGAGCTCCTATGTACAGCGTTATTTATAGGGCACGAGGACTATTAATTAACCGTTGAAGCCGACGAGCCTAAAAAACCCTCGAGGAGAGGCTGTAGTGCACGAAGCCCCCCGGGGGGGGCCTGGTGATTGTCGAGCGGACCCCTCCCCTTCATCCCCCCATCTTATGGGATCCCTTCCCATAAGCAGCCCCAGTGATGGGGGGATCATATGTGGATCCTCCCCCACCTCGCTTTGCGCCCACCCCCGCAGCGAGGTGGGGGCTTGGAGGGGGTTAAAAACTAAAAGGGAAAACAATTAAAATAGAAATAATAATAAAAATTAGTGGTGCCTCCCCCCTCCTGCCTCCCCCACTCCGAGAGCTCTGGGGGGGGGTGCATATTCCCTTTGCGGGGGTGGGGGAGCAGTGCAAAGTCCCCGGGGCGTGGGGGATGGGGGCTCCCGGACCCCCCCATAGGAAGCCTCATCCATCCCCCCCCGCTGGGGGGTGTGTGTCAAGGTGATGATTTTTTGCCTTAACATGTTTAAGGTGCTTTTCTTGCCGAGGGAGGGTTCTGGGGGGCCGCAGCCGCTGGGCTGGCCCCAGGCAAAGGCAGCAAAAGAGGAGAGCCGGGGGCTTCCGGGGGGGGGGCAGGCCCGAGGGGCGCCAGCGCTCCTCACCTCCTCCCCAGGGCCCGCACATGCCGGGGGGGGCTGCCCTGGGGGAGTTTCCCCCTCCCTCCTGTCACCCCTGCAAAAAACACTAATTTTTGTATTTTCTGATCCTTTTTCGAGCCTTAAAACCCTCCTTTTGTCTCTTTTCTTTTTTCCTTCCCCCCCCCCTTTTTTTTTTTGTTTGGTTTTTCTTTTTTACTTTCCCCTAAATTCCATTATTTCAACATCTCTCTCCCCGCTGGACGCTGATCCCCCCCACCGCGTTACATTGTCCCTGCAGACATCAACACTGCACCTTGCATCAGAAAGTGTCTCCCACGGACGTCTCCATTGGTGGGACCCCCAACAAACCACACCGGTGGCGGGAAGACCCCCCCTAATTTTCCCCTTTCGTCCCCCACTAATACTTTTGGACACACACATACACAAAAAAACCACCAAACTATCAAAAATGTAAAAAAAAAGCCCCAAAATGTTCACGTTTCTTCATCACGAAGCAGCGCCGCCGCGCGGTGCCGCCCGCCCATCGGTGTCACAACCCGCGTCAGGCCTCAGCCTCAGCAGGGCTGGGGGAAGGGAGTGTCTCTCCGGCCGGCGGGACGGTGGGTTTTAAGGCAAAATCTGGATTTTTTGGGGGTGTCAAGCCCCCGCTCTGTGGTTTTGCACAGGCAAGAGGAGACCTCTTGGCCCGTTCCCTCCTGACCCCCCAAGATGAGGCCAATGGAGATAGATAGGGGGGCCTATGACCTGTGACCCTCCCCCGACACCAGCCCTTTATTTGGGGGGGAGGGGAGGGGCACAGCTACATTCACACGGTTCCATTCCTGTCACAAGAGCTGCTGGGCTCAGCCCTCTTGGCCCTGCACCCCATTAAAAACCAGTTCAAAAGGGGGAGGTCAGGATGCTGGCCCCCCCACCTCACGAGGGCTCAGCCATGAGGGACCCCAACTGCACCCTCATCCACCTTGCCATGTCCAGACCCAGAGCACTGGCAGGGTCCAGGCCTGGGAGGGGTAGGGGGGCGCTGCCTCCCACCTTGCTGCCTTTGGTTGCTGGAAGCCAAAAACCAAAAGACCCCCCCCAAAAGGGAAGGAACCCCCCTCAAAAAGAGGCAAAGCGGGGGGGGGGGGGGGCGGCAATTGCATATTCTGGTGTGTTGGCGCAGAGGGTGCATCAACTGGAAGACGTTTCCAAAGGGGAGGAAAATGGGTTAAAAAAAATAATAACAATATAATAATAATAATAGTAAAAGAGAGAAAAAGGGGATTTTTCCGGCCAAGAAGCCATGCAGGAGGCGGGGGGGGGGGCCCCGGGCATGCAGTGGCTCCCGCTCCCCGGCACCGGGCCCGGTAATACTGAGGCTCCGAAGGCAAAGGCACATCTTGTGGTAGAAAACTTCGTGCAAATTAGGAAAACATGGATTTGTTGTGGTTTTTTTTTTTTTTCTTGCTTTTTTTTCGGGTTTTCGCCCCCTTTTTTTTTTTTCTTTTATACAGATTTTTTTTTGTTTGTTTTTTTTTTTTTTTTTTCCTCTTTTTCTCTGTTGCTGAGGGGAAGGTCGAGCTGGTTACACTCTGCCATGCACAGCATCGCCGGCACGGCGGGGCCGAGCCGGGTCGCCAGGTCCTGGTAAAGCACCATGCACTTATAAACAGGGGGTTTTGTCCGTTTTTTTTTTTCTTTTTTTTTTTCTCCTCTTTTTCGCTGTTTTTTTTTTTTTTCCCTTGGGTTTTTTTTTTTAATGCTTTTCTCAGGTCTATAAAAAATAACCCCAAACGAAAGAGGGCTCCGTTGCCGCCAAGTGCTTCTTTTGCTGTTTTCTCTTGTTCTCTTGCGGGTTTTCTTTTTCTTCTCGTGTTGGATGTCTTCTCCTCTCCAGGGATTTCCTCCATCCAGCCCTTTTCCTTCCCGCGGGAGGCGGGGGAGGGTTTGGCGGTGCCCTCGCTGCCATCCCGCACATCCCACAGTGGCTTCTCTCCATCACCCCCGTGAGCTGTCCCCTGCGGCGCCGGGGGGAAACACCAGTCTGCTCCGGGGGAACACCGGGGGTCTTCCTCATCTTCTTCCTCCCCTGCGCGGGATGGGGACTTCCTCCAGCGCTTCCCCCTCAGTGGGGGGGGATCCTTAAGGGGGTTCTCCGGGTCTGTGTCCCTTCCACCGCAGCGGTTCAGGCACTTGGCGCAGGGTGGTGGGTGCGGAGGGGGCTTTGGGGTTCAGGGGGGTTTGGGGGGTGGGGGGTGCTTTGGGGGGTGCGGGGGGGCTCTGCCCTTGGCGTTAAAAAAAGAAAAAAATCCCAAAAAACCCCAAAGCAGCCAAAGGCCAGGCCGGGGGCTCTGTTTCTTCCTCCTCTTCGTCCTCCTCCTCCTCTTCCTTTTCCTCCTTTTTTGTAATATTTTCTTTTCTTTCTTTTTTTTTTTTTTTTTTTACCAATCCCTCTTCAAAGTGCATTTCCTACAAATGTGCAACACAATCGCGCCCCCCCCCCCCCCGTACCTGTCCACAGGAATGCATAGCTCAGACACACGGAGTGTCCCCTCATCACAGCTCCCCCCGCCCAACCCCCGGGGTGGGGACACGTGTGGGGGACACGGGGACACGGTAGGGGGGGACGGGAACCCCCAGCCCCCTTCCTCCTGTGAAAGTCATGACAAGCCAAGCCCCGGCCACTGCAGCACCATGTCACCGTGTCACACCCCGGGCTCCCCTGACAGTCTGTGTGTGGCCGGGTGGGGGGACGCCCAAAGGGGGTTTGATCTTTTCTACTCACATGGAGGCAGGACCGAGGGAGTCGGCAGCCGCTGGGGGTCAGGCGCTGCAGGAGCATTGCTGGCACGAGTTGTGTCAGGTCTCAGCGTAGCGCTGTCCAACGGGGGCAAATAATAGTGTTTTTTTCTCTTTCGTGTGTGTGTGTTTCTTTGTTCTCCTGGGGGGAGGGGGGGGGTGGGATCCTCCTGGGTTGGAGGGGGGTGTTGTTTGTGTGGGTTTTTTTGTTTTGAAAAAGTTTGACCCTTTTCCTTCTTCCTTTCCCTCGCTCTTTCCTTCGGGTGTGGGTTTTGCTTGTCGTCGTCGTTGTCGTCGTCGTCGTCATCGTGAGTCCACGCTCTCCGTCGTCACCACAAGGCTGGGCCTGGTGCTCAGGGATGTTCCTCTGGGGGTGCCTAAAGCAGAGAAGGGAGGCGAAGGGGCGGCACGGCGGCGGTTATCCCAGGTACCAGGACTGCCGGGAGAGAGGAGAAAGCCTGGCGTTACCCTGTGTCCCCACGCTGTCCCCATGCTACCCTCACTGCCCCACTCCTGCACCGAGTTCACTCAGTGCCCCCCATCCTCCTCAGTGGCCAAGGCGATGCTCTGCAGGGAAAGCGTCCTGCTTGGGGACAAGCAGAGGGGTGGCAGAACTGGGGACCCCGCGGGGTGGCCCCTACCACCCTCCCGTTGTCTCTCCCCCCCATCTCCAGCCCCAAGTTCAAGTTCATTCACGATTACCTCATGTCTGGTTTCCGTTGGCAACGAGACAGCTCGGAGCCGTTGCTTCCCTTAACCCTTCCCAGCCCCACCACACATGACCAGAGAGCAGCCTGTCTCAGCCACCACGCCCGGGAGCATGGGACACTCATTTTGTCCCCACTTGTCCTCATTTTGTGCCTCAGTTTCCCAAGGCAGAGCATCCTTCTGCCCTGGGGAAGCTCCTGGAGTGCATCCAAACACACATGCACAGTGACAGGGACAGTGACCCACACAGGATTTGGGGTGCAGGGACCCTAGCACCCCGTGTCTCCTCTTTAGGGACGCAAAAGCCTCAGGGTGCCCACCCCACTCTGTCCTTTGGAGAAACTGAGGCAGGGCACTCTGGTCAGAGCCAGACCCCAGTGTTTGCCACCAGCAACTGCACAGCATGCCTGGGGTGCCCTAGCTCATGGGCCCTGAGCATTGTGTCACAGCACAGCACCCTTGGGTACCCCATGGACCGGCTCAGCCCCCCAGCTTCTCACTCCCGCCACGGCGCCATCTGTACTCCATCCCACTGCATCCCGACAATGCCCCTGAGGAGACCACTGAGGTTGTGCAACTTGTAGCACAAGTGAGGCACAAGGTGCTAGCGCTGGCCCATGGCACTGCCCACGGTGCCTCACCCACGGCTGGTTCAACACACCCAGCACCAGTGAAGATTCCTGGGAAAGGCGCGTGCCACATCCCACCATGGCTGGAGTGGGAAGGTCAGGGTGTCTGTGTCTGCCTGAGGAAGGGGCACACGGCCCCAGTGCCCCGCATGCAGGGATGCTGTGCATGGTGCTAGCTGTGAGCATGGCAGGGACCTCCTGCTGCCATGGGGGACATTTGGTGGCCACAAGTCACCAGGAGCACCTGTGGCCTTGGCTTGGGCACCAGCTGGGGATTCTCATGGTGGCAGTCCCAAGGTGGGGATGCCATGGTGGCAATACCCATGGTGGGGATACCCATGGTGACAATGCCCATAATGGAAATACCCATACTGGGGACACCCACAGCAGCGATGTCAAGCCAGCAATGCCCAAAGCAGCAGTGCCCACAGTGGCAATGCCATGCTGGTGATGCCCATGGCAGCAATGCCCACAGCAGCGATGCCCACCACTGCAGCAATGCCATAGTGGAGACACCCACGGTGGTGACGCCCGCAACGGCTGTGCCCACAACAGCGATGCCCACAACGGTGATGCTATGACGGCAGTGCCCAGGGTGAAGGCAGGAGGGTCCCCCCAGCAGCATCCCAGCTCTCACCTGTGCCTGATAGATACTCCCAGGATCCCTTGGTCCTAATCCCACGAAGGAACGGTTCGCAGGGGGCGTGCCTGGTGCAGAGTAGGCTGGGGAACAAATGAGAGCTCATTAACGGGGCTGCCGGTGGCATCGCCATTGTCCCACTGCTGCCTGGCACTGCTGGGACAGGCGTCCCAGACACATGGAGCTAGCACCAGGGCAGTGTCCCTGGTGGTGTCCTGGCAGCACATGGAGGTGAGGGATGCTGTGCCTTCTGTGCCTGTGCCCTCTGGAGGGGTGGCTTTGTGGTGATGACTGGCTGGGGGCACCTTTGGGGTGCCAGTGCAGTGCTGTGGGGCAAGCGCAACAGGAGCCACCAGCTCCACTCAGCCACATCGCCCCATTAAGACCTCCACCCCCAGCTAGGTAGGGGTCCAGCAGTGGGACCCCCAGCCCTGCTGAGCTCCTGAGACCCATCAGGAGGGGGGGAGCGCTCAGAGCCAGCTGGCCCCAGGGCTCCTTGGGGACACACAGTGTGCATCCTTCCCTGAACCAAGGGGAGACTGGCACTGCCCAGTCCCTCCCTGCGGACATGGTCCCATCACTGGCTGGGCCACACCACCCCACAGCTCTCCCCTCCACGTCATGCCATGTGACCTCCATACCAATGGCATCCAGCTGTGGCCTGTCTCCAGGGACGTGGCAGCCTCTCTGGGTACCAGGAGTCCCATGGATACAGCAGGATGGGGACAGGGATGATCTCGTCGATCATGGTGATGGCACACCATGGTGATGGTAGCAGTGTCCCACCACTACAGCACACGCCCTGATGCCAGGCTGGGGGTGACACCAGCGTCTCCCCTTTGTGACCCCAAACTCCTCCTGGCCAAGGCACTGAGGCCATCTAAAGGATGAGCTTGTCAGCGACCACTGCTAATGAAGGGTACCCCAGGGGATCTTCAGGTGCCCTGCACCCAAGTTGCTTCACAGCCCCTGATCAAATGAGGGACCCCATGCTGGGGACCCTGGTGGCAGAGTGAGGACGGCAGCCCCACGCAGCACACACAGCCCGGCACCCTTCCACCACCGCAGCCATTCAGCCGGCCCCTGCCTCACCAGCAGCACCACCGCGTTCTGAGGCACGGAGAGGCAACTGCGTCCCTTGGCAAGCCCTTCCTGTATTGGGGGGGGGGGGGTGTTTGGGCAAGGCGTCGGCTCAGAATGACACGGGGCTCCATCCGGTCCCTGGGACCAGTGCAGGGCGCCCCCCCACCCCCAGCTTGGTGGGGACACACAAGAGCCTCCTGCCCAAACCCTGCCTGCTCCGACCTGCCTGAGACCCAGCAAACTCATGGCGTGCCAGCTGCCGCCCTCTCACCGGCTGCGGGGAGCCCACCTCCGCCAACGTCCCCCCCAGCAGCACCGGGGACAAGGGGGGAAGACGCTTTGGGGGGGCTGCAAGAGGAGGGGGCCAGCCGGGCCGGGGAGAGGGGTGGGCGCCGCGGGGTGCTTACTGGGTGATGTCGGCGAGGTCGTCCCTCCCTCGGTAGTTGTCGTAGTGGGTTTGGTGTCAGGAGAGACGGCCAAGCGGGGCATGCCAGGGGGAGGTGGCGGCGCCAGCATCTGCGGGGGCAAGTAGTGGCTGGGCACTTTCACTTGACCACTTCCATTTAACTGGGGACACAACACAGACAGAAAAACAAACAGCACAAGCCATTAGGAAGCATGGGCAGCACCAGCAAAAGCCGGCCTGGGAGCGCCTGGTGCCGGTTGGCACCCGCACAGAGCATCCCTCACTGCTGGCACAAGTTTGATGGGTCTCAGAGCAGCCCTGAACAGTCGGCACCAGCCACTGGGGAATCATGAAGGGGTGAGAAGCAGGGGGGTCAAGGTGGGCTTTGGGGGGGGGGGGGGGGCACGTCCCCCACCCCATAGCGGCGCATGCCGGAGGCAGGGTGCTGTGAGAGGATGGGGCACCCTGTAGTGGCATCGAAGGCTCCTGTACCAGCTCCCCCCCTGCTCCTGACCCAGTCTCTGCTAGCCCCGGCACTGACCTGCTGCATGGGGAGAAGATCAGACATGCCCCTCACCCTGTCATCAGGTCTCACCGGGTGCTGGGCAGAGCTCAGACAAGCTCCCCCAGACTGTCTGTGGCTGTGGGGCAGAATGGGGCACAGGAGGGCAGGGCATGGGGATGTAGCCACTCCTAGGCCCTGGCTGCAGGCACAAAGGGAGCACAGGGTGGGTGTGCGGGGTGCAGGGTGCATGAGGTGCATGGCATGTTGGGGGCACTGGGTACTAGGTGTGCAGGGTAGTGCATCTGCTGGGTGCTGGGTGTGTGGGGTGCTAGGTGCACTGGGTGCTGCAGGCACTGGGTGCTGCAGGCACTGGCTGCTGAGTGCACTTTGTGCTTTCTGGGGGTGCTGGATATGTGGCATGGGGGGTGCATGGGGTGCTGGATGTGCTGAGTGCTGGGTGTGCGGGGTACTGGGATGAGGGACAGCACACAACAGCTTAGTGTGGCCCTGCCACCCGATGGGGACATGGCACAGTGGGGACAGGGCTGATGGGTCACCAGCCAGAACCGGGGCACACAGGGCCCATCAGTCTCCTGGCATGCTGGCAGATGGTGGCTCTTTGGCAATGGTCACATGTCCCCTGCTCCCACAGACAACCCCACACCCAGCCAATGGCTCAGCCCCAGCACTCACTGCCCTATCTCTGCTCCATCACCAGAGAACCAAGCTATCAACACCGACCAGCTGCAGCCGCGCTCCCAAACCAATGCATGGCTGCCCAGCCCTGTCCAACACCCTACCAGGCTGGGTCCTGGCACCGAAGTGCCACCAGAGTGCCCTGACCCCCAACTGTGGTGGTGGTGACGGCAACAGTGGCAGACAATCATAAAATCATGGAATGGTTTGTGTTGGAACGGACCTTAAAGCTCAACCAGATCCAGCCCCCCCGACACGTAGGGACACCTTCCGCTAGAGCAGGCTGCTCCACGCCCTGTCCAACCTGGCATTGAACACTACCAGAGATGGGGCATTCACACATCACCCCAGTCAAGGGGATGCAGCAGACCCCAGTGCCCCACTGCGAGCTCAGTGATGGGATGCAAGGATGGGGTGGCATCCTTACCGGTCCGGGCTGCTGGTTGGACGGGTCACAGGCCAGTGAGACGAGATCTTTCAGTGGGTCCTGTGGGTTGAGATGAGGCGGGTACCGAATGGCCGTGTGGGGGAAGTAGGTGGAGGCCGTTTGTGGGAGGATGGAGGTGGTGGGGAAATGCAGTGCAGATGATGGGTGTGGGCTTCGAGTGATACCTGCAGGCGACAACGGGAAGAGGGGGACACCCCAGTGTCACCAGAAGCCAGCTACTGGCCCAGCCCCACACTGCTCACCCACTGGCTCCATGCCTTGGTTTCCCTGTTAGGCCACTCACCGCTGTGCACTGCGATGACGGGACGGTGGTGCTGCGTGAAGCTGCTCAGACGGGGCGAGGAGTCCTGGGGTGACGGGCTGTTGAAGGGGGACTTGTCCATCTCTGTCTTCTTCACAGTGGGGGAGATGCCTGAGGCAAAGCAGGGTGCAGTGTCAGAGCCCGGCACCCAGCTTGATCCTGGGGTTAGGGGGTCCCTGAGGACAGGCTCGGCACGAGTGCACGTGTGTGCACATGAGTGAGGGTGTACATGGATGTGGGCAGCTCTATGGGCCTACCACAGGTGTGCACATAAACACATGTAGCATGTGCAGGCACGTGTTCACTCATAGGCATTTGTGTACCTCTATGCTTGTGTGCACACGTGTGTTTGCATGTGTGGGTGCCTACCCAGGGGCCAAAACTGGGGGTTCCCATGGGTGCACCACTGGACCCCTGGGGCTGGGGTTCTGGCAGTGCAGGAAGCTGGGGCAGAGAGGGAGGGGTCAGTGGTGCCTCCCACCCTCCTCCATCACCATGGCTTTAGCTCTGGCCATTCGGCCAAGGCCTGGTAATGGGTTTAGCGTCTTCTCAGCTGGTGTTTAGGAGGATTTCCTGGAACATCCCATATGGGATTGCTGCCCCCTTCCCTCCTGCCCCGGATCAGGCCACCAACAGGGGACAGGAGCACCCCTGCATAGTCCAACCTGCCATGCATACCCACAGGCAATGCTTTGGGCAGGGCGTGACATTTCTCTGAGGACTCACCTGGCCCATGGGCACAGTGGTGGTAGAGGATGGGTCACTATCCCCAGCACCTATGGGGCACCCTCCTGGGGCAGGACTCGCTTTCCCCAAATTGCCTCCAGTCCCCCAAAGCCAGACACCCTCCAGGCTCTGCCAGCACTGGGGGGTGGGGGGGATGGATGGATTCTGCCCCACTGTTTGGGGTGCAGGGAAGCAGGATAAGAGCTGAAGAGGGGGGAAGATGAGCAGTCCCTGGCCTGCAAAGGCACCCCGGGGTGTGGGAGCCGCCTTGCCAGCCCCGCAGCACCGCTTTAATTAGCCCAGCCCCCCCCCCCCTTTTCTTAATGAACAGCTAATTGGGGCTGTCTAGACAGGAAAGGGAAAAAAAAAAACCAACAGAAAAAATGCCAAGAAAGCAACAGAGCTGCTGCCCGCAGCAGAAGCATCCGCTGTGGGGCTGGGAGAGGCTGGTGTGGGGCTGGGGCACTGGGCTGACCCTACAGAGAGCCTGTGTCTTGGTGGGGGGGTCTACAGCAACCTCACGGCCCCTCCAGCCAGCTCATGCTTTGACCTGAGCATCCTAAAGCAACCCCAGGCTCTCAAAGGGGAGGACAGACAGTAGTGACCTGGCTGGGGGGCCCCGTAGCAGTAGAGGGGCACCTATAGGGAGGCACCTGTAAGGAAGCACTTACCCCCTTCCATGTCTTCTGTCCAGTTGCGGCTGCTGCTGGTGGGGGAATTGGAGGAGGTGTAGTACTCGCCCCCCGGGCTGGTGTCGATGTCGTCCTCCATGGACCCCGACTTGTGCCGTTTGCTCCTGGGTGGGTAGGGGAGGAATCAGCTCCAGCCTGCGGCAGGACACAACCTGTCCTGTGCCTCCACCACAGTGAGATGGTCAGTGGCCCATGGCCAGGCTCGGGTTCACCCTGACATCACCCCCAGAATCACCCCATCATTGCCCCAGCATCACCCAGTACCATGCCAGCATGGTCCCAGGATCACGTACCCGCTGGAAGAGGTGCTGGGCAGTGTCCTCCGCATGCCAGTGCTGGAGGGGTTCAGGTCATAGGCCAGGTGGCCCTGGAGCTCCCCAAGAGAGAAGTTTGGACCCGTGCCTGTCACCACCGGTGCTGCAGGGAGAGAGAGGGATCAGGGGATTGGGGGAGGGGGGTCAGCCCATATCTGGGATGGGGAACAGCTGGGATGCTTCCAGTCCCAGGCAGCTTGGGGGGCGTTGGTGGCATGATGGTGGCACTCACTTCGGGACACCTGGATGAGCTCGGTGACACTGAACACCCCCGAGGTAACAAAGCTTTCCTGGAAGTCTGTGGAATCTGTGCAGGAAGAGAGAAGGGAGCGCTGTGGATGGGGGGCCAGATGGGATGGAAGCACCCCTCCTGCTCCACACTGTCTTGTGGTAAAGCTTGAGAGCACCCCAACATCCCCAAAGCCACTGTAATGCTGCCCCTTGAACCCTGCTCTCACCCAGCGTGATGGGTTTGCTGTCCTCCTGGTCCGAGCCAATGCCTGTCCGGGGGCTGCTGCTCTGCTCTGCATCTGCAAGAGGGAAAAATACCACCAGGATGAGGCACCAGTGCAAACCTGGGATACACACTGGTTCCCTGCCGCAGCAGCCCCCCTCACTAATCTGCGGCTTGGGAAAACTGAGGCACGGTCTGGCAGAAGTTCCAGGGCCAAGTTGGCACATCCCCAGCCATCAGGAAGAGCCACCATAGGCATCCCTCGTTATGGGCAGGAACAGGGACAGGAACAGGGACACCCTTGTGCTGCCATGTGAGGGGAACCCACAGCCCTTGTCCTGCCCTGAGGCAGTCACAGCTGCTGGGCCTTGCTCCTGCCTCTCCTACTCCCTCCTGCTGCTGCCACCCAGCTCGGGCAGTGCTGCCACTGCCAGGCATCGCTTCTGTCACTGCACAGCACCTAGTTCTGCCTCCTCCAAGCCCCTCAGAGGGCAGTGGGACATGGGGCAGTGCCTGTTCCTACTCCTTCAACACCATTTTAGCTTTAGATATAAAAACCTCTCTCAGACGCTGATATCAGCGGCGCTGGCACACCCCGGCATGACACAGAATAGCACGGTGCAGCACCGCATGGCCAGTGGGCCCTCTGGTTCCCTCTGCCTTACTGTGAGCATCCTTCCTTCACAGGGCAGGGCACCCACCAGCCCCCAGATCCCTTTCATAACTTTCTGCCACACATTTCCCCCTCTCCTCATCCTCCATCCTGCCTCCCCATCCTCCTCCTCCTCCTCCCACCCACTGGCCTCCAGCTTTCCTCTTCCCCAGCTTTGGCTGATGCCGGGAAAGAGCCACGACACCACCAAAACAGCGTGGCCGCAGCTGCCAGCCCTCCTGCTGTGGCTTGGCTGGCCTTTGCCCAGTTTGCCCTTTTCTTCCCCGGTTTTCCCTGCCTCTCTCACCCCATGCCCCCCAGCCCCTCACACACACACACACTGCACTCCCACCCCACATCCCGGGGGCTGCTGGACACCAATGCCAAGTGCTGCCATTTTGTCTCCCTCCCTGGTTCCCGAGGTTCCTCCGCCACTGCTGCCCATGCCAGCCTGGCAGCCCCTTCCCCACTGGCAGCCATACCACACTAGCGCCACGGCCCAGTGCCAGCCAGCCCTGTGACCGCCATTGCGTACGCCTGCAGCTTCCCCAGGGCAGCCATTTTAGGGAGCAGCGATTTCCGCGGCAGTGCATCGGGAGGGGTTTCCTCCCAATTCCTTCTCTCCATTTTCCTTCCGCCCCCCTTGTTCTGAAGGCCAATGCACACCCAAGTGTATGGGGGGCACAGGCTTGGGGTGGCCAGGCGTCCCCCCCCCGCACTCATGGGCACCATGCGGCCGGACATGGCCCCTCCTCGCCTCTTACAACAACAACCGTCGCGGCAGCTCTGGAAGCCGTTAGCCATGGAGCCGGGCCAAGGCGCGGGGCGGCAGCTGCAGCCCCGTGACCTCCCCGACACTGCCTTGGGGCGCCCCAGTCCCTCCCCGAGGGGGGATTGGGCGTTAGAATCCCACCAAAGCTGGTGGCCTCCACATGGCCCATGGGACCTCCCATGACTGCTTGAGCTGGGATGGACCCTGCTTGCCCCAAATGCCCCACGTGGACCTTTGTTCTCCCCCACATACCCCACACGGCCCCTGCTTACCCCATGATGCTCCACACAGACCTTTCCTCACCCCCAGTTGCCCCACATGGACCTTTGCTCTCCCATGACGGTCGGCACAGCCTTTTTCTCCCCCCAGAGCCACCCCAGCGTGTCCTCTGTAGCCCCCAGGCACCCATCAGGGCCACTCGCTTGCCCTGGGTACCCCTCTGGGTGTCCCCCACATCCTTCCACCAGCATCATCCCCTGACCCTGATCCCAAGGGAGCATCCCCCAAGCCGACACCCCTGATTCCAGCCATGGCAGCCCAGGAGCACCTGGGGTCTCTCAGTACCTCTGAGGTCTGCCAGCAGGGCTGTCCCCTCCTGGCACCCCTCATGTCCCTGCAGATGGAGGGCTGTGGGTGCCAGGATAGGGGCTGTGGCCTCAGGACCCCCCGTGGTGGGGCTGGGTGATCTTGCCAGCACATTTCTGGCTGCCTCCTCCAAACTCTGCTCTTGCCGCCATGTGAGGGCTGCCTGGGGCCTGCTGGCCCACTCTAAAATGGCGGCCTCTTTCCTCCCATCTCCACAGGATGTGTTTTTCGGGGAGACACCCCAAATCCACCACCCAGCAAGTGCTTCAGTTGCATTGGGAGGGTGAAAGGCTGGGAGCCCCCCAGCCTCATGGGTGGGGGACAACCTCGTACTCTCTGCATGCCCAAATGATGGGCTGGGGGATGATGAGACTGATACGAGACTGTGGGGTTTAGTGCATGGAGGGGCCCAAACAGGTCGATCCCATCTCTGCTGGAAAGAGCAAAGTCTGTATCCTGAGGCAGGGTGAGGGCTGTCCGTATTCTCAGCCCCTGGACCAGTGCCACCCATTGAATTATGGATCCTGGCACAGTGCCACCAGCCCCACAGAGACTCTCCCTGGGGCCTCAGCACATGGGAGCAGCTCCTGGGCAGGATCTGGGGGTTCAATGCAGGCTGGGTGCCCCCAGGGCTGCTGAAGAGCCCTGGCTCTGTGCCACAGCACTGATGGGCACAGGGACTGCTGTAGGGTGCACGTGCAGCAGCTGGAGGGTACTGGAGGCTGGTGGGAACCCCCCCTCCACCCCAGGGAGGGCAGCAGGTTTCCTCCTCCAGCTCTGTTAGCGAGGGGCCAGGAGATAGGAGAGGGCTGGGCCCCACTGCCTCAGTTATCCCTGGGGCTGGGGTGGGACCCTGTGGTGGTGTTAACCCAGGACAGCTCCCCCTCTCCATGCCTCTGCCTGGTCCTTCCCTACAGGGAGCATCAGTAGGGCCCAGAATGATGCTCCTACTCCTGGTCTCCGAGTGTCTCCAGTCCTGGTCAAGGACTGGAGACACTTGGAGACCTGAGGGAGCCCGAGTGCTGCGTGGCAGCAGCTGCAGGGAGGCGGGGGGGGGGTGTCTGTGATTCGCAGTCTCTCCCTACAAGACCCCCAGCACCCCCCACCCCACAGTGGCCCCATGCCCCTTATGTAAAACCCGCACCAGCACCGCTTGTGTAACCTCCTTTAGATAATCCCCAGAGAAACACTCTGTGTTCCAGCTAAATCCCAGCTCAGCCAGCACGCCGGGAGCACCAGACCCCTCTGCCACGCTCCCTACAACCCCCACTTCCCCTTCCACCCCCCCTCCTTCCCCAGACATCAGCAGTGCTACAAGGGCCTGAGATGAGTTTGCTGGGTCTCAGCCCACTTTCAGCCAGCTCCTCCTTCCCACGCTGAGCCCCGGGAAGGTCCTGGCTGCAGATGTCCCCCAGGGTGGCGGGGGGGGTCACACCATGCACCCGCTGCCACGTCCCAGCCTGCAGCCGGCCCGGGAGGCTGAGCCAGAGCATTTGTCCTTGGCTGACCCTGCAGCAGTGGCCGGGGGGGGGACGGGGGACACGGGGCCTGGTCACCCCCTCGCTCAGCCCTGCCAGGCCTGGGCCTCATCCAGGGCTACCAGCGCCTGCAGAGCACAGATGGCAGCGGATAAAGGGATGGCTGAGACCCCCACATCCTCTGTGAGACATCCCCTCTGGGGTGCTGGCACTTTGTGCCTCTGCCATGGAGAGGGGGGACCTAGGGGTGCAGATGCAGGAGGGGATGAGGGACAGGAAAGAGGGAGAGAAAGGGAGGGAGGGAGGGAAGGGTGAGGAGGGTAACTAGAAAGGGAGGAAGAAATGAAAGCGGAGAGAAAGGGAAAGGGAAAAGGATAAAAAGAGAAGAAATGAGGAAGAGAAAGAAAGAAAAAGAACAAAAGAAAGAAGAAAATTAAACCAAGGAAAGAGAGAAAGAGCTGACAGGGAGGGAGGGAAGGAAATGGAAGGTAAGGCAGGAGTAAGGCAGGGGGCAGGAGGAAGGAGAAGTGATGCGGGGGACACCCCAGCTCTTCAGGTGCAGTCAGAGGGTTCCAGGCCTGGCCCTGTGCTGCTGGAACCACTGTCCCTGCCCTGCCCCATGGCACAGCACAGCCCCATGGCATGGCAGGGTCCTACAGCATTCCATTACATGGCTCCACGGCACAGCCCCACGACGCAGCCCTGTGTCATGGCATAGTCCAATGCCACTGCACAGTCCAATGCCACTGCCCCATAGCACAGCCAGCCCCACCGCAGAGTCCCACAGACTCCCCTCTCTGCCCCTACTGACCGCAGGTATCCATCCCCAGCACATGGTGGGAATCTCCCTCCCCATGGCCAAGCTCTGAGGCTGCACAAGCCTGAGGGAGAGGGGAAGAGCAGGTTGAGGGACCCCAATCTCCCAAGCCAGCTTGGGGGCACATTGTCCTGCCAGGGGGGTTTGGCAGCACAGGTCCTGCAGTGGCATCTGCCACCCCAGCTGTCCCCTGCCAGCATGGCAGGAGCTGGCTGCCTGGCCAGGACAGCAACTGTGGCCATGGGCAGGCAGCCGGTGGCGGGGGGGGGGGGGGAATGGCGGGTGCTGGCACAATGGAGCTCCCTTGTGTTTTATCCACTGGGTCCAGGGACTGCTTTGCCCCCCCAGCCCTAGCACTGTGGACGTGGCACCCTGGCTGGGGCCACAGGGCTAAGACATGAAGAACTCGCTTCACTGGTGGCACTGCGGGAAAGCTGCCTGGCTCTGGCACGGCTCCGGCACACTGCCGGCTCAGCGCACTGCGGGAGAGCCGGGGAAGCCCTGACCTCCCCAAGGTCACCGGCACACCATCCACAGAGCTACAGTGTGCCAAAACCAGCCCAGTTGCAGCCACCTCCGGGACACAAGAGATGCTGCAGGGGATGGGGATGGCTGTGGTCACAGCACCCTGGTGAGCCCCTTTCCAGCCCACCTCTCAAGGGCAGGGATGCAGCCCCTGTGGATTCCCTGTGGATAACCTTGTGTGTATTGCTTTTGGGCCCTGCCTGTAGAGTGGAAATATACAAGAAACCTGGAGAGGGGCTTTGGACAAGGGCCTTTAGGGACAGGCCAAGGGAAATGGCTTTAACCTTCCAGAGGGGAGACTGAGATGAGCTCTCAGGCAGAAGCTCTTCCCTGTGAGGGTGCTGAGGTGCTGGCACAGGGTGCCCAGAGAAGCTGTGGTTGCCCCATCCCTGGCAGTGTTCAAGGCTGGGTTGGAAATGGGCTTGGAGCAAGCTGCTCTAGTGGAAGGTGTCCCTGCCCATGGCAAGGGCTTGTGACTTGAATGATCTTTAAGGTCCCTTCCAACCAAATACCGTGCACCCCATAATCTCTTTGCGCTCTTGCCCATAAATACTGTCCTGGGGGGCTGGCAGAACAGTGCTGCCGGAGGGAATTCCTGCTCTTCCATCTGGAGGGACCACGCAGACGCTTGGCACGTCCGGACCCAAAGCCCTGGCACAGGCTTCCCGGCAGATTGGTGCCATCTGCCTCAGCAAGGCTGGTGAGGGGAGATAAGGGGCTGCCAAGGCAGGGGGATGCAGATGCTGGCAGCATGGTGGAGGTCCCTGCCTCCCCCTGGTGCCATCCACGCAGCGTCAGGGCCAGCAGCGATGCCACCCTGGGACCTGCTGCCTGCTCACCCCTAGTACCCATCTGCTCCCACTCCAGGCACTACCAGGGGGAGCTCACTTCAGGGCAGAGCCTTGTCCCCAAACCCCCGTCAGCTGCAGGGTCCCTGCCAGCTCTAGAGCACCCCAAAGAGTGTGAGGGGACAACACTGAGCCCAGCCAGCCTCTTTACAGCTCCTGCTGCCCCCCAGCTGGATCAGCATCAGGATGCAAGGATGGAGATGCAGGGCTGGAGATGCAGGGCTGTGGGATGCAGGGATGGGTGTCTAGGGATGGGGTGCTGGGATAGGCGCACAAGGGTGCAGGGAGGGGGGCACTGGACCCCCAGCTTGGCTCTGCTCGCTGGGAGGGATGTGCTGCTCCCGAGGTCCCGGCACATGGAGCGACTCCATCGATCCCCGGTTACTGCAGTGACTTTCACCAGCGACCTCCGAGCTCCCCCCGCAACCCCCCACTGCAGCGCCTGCCCCGCCCCCACTGCGGTGTGCACAGCACAGCCCCGCACTGGCCCCGCACCAGCCTGCACCTATCCTGCACCCAGCCCCAGCCCCGCACCGTCTGCACCCATTCTGCTCCCATCTTGCACCCAGCCCCGCACTGTCTGCACCTATCCTGCACCCATCTTGCACTATGCTGCATCATCCTGCATCGAGCCTGTACCATCCTGCTCCCAGCCTGCACCCACCTTGCACTGTCCTGCACCATCCTGAATCCAGCCTGCACCCATCTTTCACTGTCCTGCACCATCCTGCTCCTAGCTTGCATCATCCTGCTCCCAGCCCGCACCATCCTGCTCCCATCCTGCACCCATCTTGCACCATCCTGCTCCCAGCCCGCACCATTCTGCTTCCAGCCTGCTCCATCCTGCTCCCAGCCTACACCATCCTGCACCATCCTGCTCCCAGCCTGCACCATCCTGCTTCCAACCTGCACCATCCTGCTCCCAGCCTGCACTATCCTGCTCCCAGCCTGTACCACCCTGCTCCCAGCCTGCACCGTCCTGCACCATCCTGCTTCCAGCCTGCACCCATCCCGCACTCAGCGCCCCGGAGCCTTTCCCCAACCAGGCTCTCCTCATTTCTTACTTTCCCCCGTGGGTCTTTCCCCCAGACGAGCGGGGGAAGCAGAACGAGAGCTCCCCCCCGCCCCGGCGCTGCCAAAGCAGCAGCAGGGAATTTGTGCTGACCTCAGCAGAAGGCGCCTGGCCCAAAACCACGTGTGCAGCCGCATCAGGGGGGGCGTGGGGAGCTCGAGCGGCCCGGCCGGGGGGGCCCACATCCCCTCAGTCATCCCCTGTCACACCCCTGGACCTGGGGATGCTTGGGGGGGAGGAAGCTGCAGGGTGTGATGTGCAAAGGGGAGAAAGCAGGATGGGAGCAGGACGGGTGCTGCTGCCTGGTCCTGGGCTCCCTTAACCGGGACCCGGAGCGACCTTAACAGGGCAGCAGGAGCCTTATCGGAGTATTTACAGCCCCATGTTCCCAACTAGAACTCAGGTGACCGCAGGCGCTGGGGACAAGGTCGCTGCTAGGGGGTGGCAGAGGAGTACCCACCTCCCTGGGGACACCCATCGGCAATGGCATCCCAATGCAGTGTGGGGGACCTCAGCGTGGCTGCCATGGGGGTCCTGATCCCTGCTGCCAGCACAGCCACGGCAGGGCTCCCACTTCAGCCCAGTCTAGTCCAGGATGCCCCCACGCCAGCCCAGTGTGCAGCACCCCATCCCAGCCAATATGGGGTGCCCTCAGCATAGCATACGGCATCTCAGTTATGCCCTGGGGCTTAACTGGATGGATCCCAAACCCAGTTCAGCCCAGCACATGCCAGAAGGTGTGGCTGGGCAGGCAGATCCTGGTGGCACACACGGCTCTATCTGAGGGGACTCCCAGGCAGGTGAAGGCCATGGGAGCAGCAATCCCTTGGTGCACAGCAGGAGCTGCTGGTGTTTGGGTTTTGCCCCAGCTGGCGTTATCATTGCTCCTGTCCCCACCTTGGTCACCCACTGGGTGAGGGACTGTTACCACAACCCACAGCAACCTGGCAGTGCTGGATGCTTCCAGCTCCAGCTCTTGGGCACACCAGGAACAGGCTGTTACTGGGCTGCTGGCACAGGCAGCGTGGGATGTGGGATAAACCCCCCAGATCCCCCTCTGGGGATGCCCAGAGCCAGGAGCATCCTTGGGGGCCACTCACTCCCCTTCCTGGCACATGAACCTCCCCCTGGGGGCTGGCTCCATGGGGACTCATCCTGACTCTGACCCACAGGCAGACGAGCACCCACCTCTCTCACGGACGAAGTAAGCCAGGTAGAGGTCCAGCTCCTTGACAGAGACACTAATGTGGTGGGGCTGGACGCAGAGGATGGGGTTGGTGCACTGGCCTGACTTGACCAGGCGCTCACCGTCGGTGCTCTCCAGTGGGATCCCTTTGAAGAGGATGACCATGACCAGGTCCAGCCGCCACACCTTGTCTGCCTGCCGCAGGCAGTCGATGCGGCGCATCTTCCCCTTCTGGTCAGGGTTGGAGAGGACGCAGCATGAGGGCTTCTTGCCGGTGATGGAGAGCACAAAATCCTCACGGCACTCGGGCCGGATGTCCTTGCGCAGCTTGGCCAGAAGGCGCGAGGCCCATTTCTGTTTCACCTCTGGCTTCTCACTCAGCAGCTCATCTTTCACCGCCCTCTCCTCGTCCTTCGTCATCCTCTTCTCATGCTTCTTGAAGTACTTGCGCTTGCGGGCTTGCAGGTTGAACCATGTGTAGGCGAAGGCCCGGACATGGGGGAGCAGCGCCTCAATGAAGGGGTGGAACTCATCCTGTGGGGCAGAGGGATGGGTGGTCACTGGAGAGGGGCTTTGGATAAGGGCATATAGGGACAGGTTAAGGGGAATGGCTTTAACCTGCCAGAGGGGAGACTGAGATGAGCTCTTAGGCAGCAGTTCTTCCCTGTGAGGGTGCTGAGGCTCTGGCACAGGGTGCCCAGAGAAGCTGTGGCTGCCCCATCCCTGGCAGTGTTCAAGGCCGGGTTGACACAGGGGCTTGGAGCAAGCTGCTCTAGTGGAAGGGGTCCCTTCCTGTGACAGGGGGTTGTGACTGAATGAGCTTTAAGGTCCCTTCCAACACAAACCAGTCTGGGATTCTACGATCTGATCCTGACAGACACAGCAACCCTACCTGCCATTGTGCCTGCTGGAGCCACCACTCCAGCAATGGTCAGACACTGCCAGCCCACAGCATCCAAGGCACACATGTCCCACACCCCAGCTTCCCCTGCACCAGTGGAACGCTCCCTCAGTTTGCCCCAGTTGCAGCCATGCTCCAACTGCCTTTCTCATGTGTGAGTGCTGCAGTATGGGTCCAGCCCCGGGAGAAAACAAGAAATTGCATCCCCAAGGTGTCCATGTGCTGCAGCCAGGGGAAGACCCAGAGCCCAGCAGGGGATGGGGCAAACAGCTCTGGACACCGCACTGGTCCCACTCGTCCTAGGGCAGCGATGCCATTCCCTGGCTGAAGCAGCTGTGTCCCAAAGTGACCCTGCTTGGAGGGAACAGTGTCCCCTGAAGCAGGCTCCCTGCACGGATTAACCCCATATGGACCCTGATAACTGCTACTTGGTCCCAAGTCCAGCACAGACCCACTAACCCCAAACCAGCTCCTGCACAGCCTCAGACCTGCTTCCTTGGCACAGACCTTGCTGTGACCTGGCACAGACACCCCAGCACAGCCCCCACTGTCCCCTGAACCCAGCACAGACACCAAGAACTGCATCACCAGTCACCAGCATGGCCTCCTCAAACCCACCAAAAGTCCCCCAAGCACAGACCTGCTGACAGCCCCTGCTCTGGACCCAGTCTCACCAGAGCTGTGACCCCATGGGTGTCCCCCCATAGCCCACCAGAGACCCCTCTTGCTGGAGAGCCCATCCCACCCATGGAAACCCAACTCTGCTGGGAGATGCAGAGCCCTCCTGACCCTGGGGACCCATCCCAGCCTGGGGGACCCATCCTGCTAGGGGATCGCATCACCAGTGGCTGCTCACAAGGCAGCTACAGCCCACCCCCCCCAGGTCTGGTTCCCTCCCCAGCAGAAGCCACTAATTCAGTGCAGCTGGGCAAGGGCTGGGCATGTGGCTTAAATTAGGGAAGAAGGTCAAACAAAAGTAAGACAGGAGCTGAAAAAAGCAGCAGCCAGTTCCAAAGCCAGCCCCTGGCCAGGGCAGTGGGCAGCTCATCATCCTTGGTGGCCACTTATTCCAAAGAGCCCAACAAATTGCTGCCATGCCCCAAAAGCCTGCTGTGTGCAGAAGCCCCATCAAGCCCTTAGTGCCTGCTGAGTCCTCCCTGTACCCAGGGTCACAGCAAGACAGGAGCTGCCCCAAAGCCCATCAGCCTGTTGGCAACTTTCCCTCCAGCTTATCCTGCTCTCCAAGTTAAGCTGCTCGAGAGGGGTTAGGGGCAGGCAGCCAGGGGCACTGGGTGGGTGGGATGGCTGCAGCTGAGAGGGACAAACTGAAAGACCTGGGGTCCATCCCCATGCTCTGCACACAGCACAGAGCACCGACAAAGGGCCAAAGGGCTGGTTAAGTGCTTCTCCTGCTGTTTTTCCTTTGCAGGACTGGAAAGCAGAGATGTGCTGCAATACCCCAGACAAGGCTGGTCCTGGGGCATTTCCGGATGGGAATCTGGCATCAGAGCCTGTGCTTGGGCCTCATCCAGCCTGGGCTTGTAAGAAAGACCATGCCCACGTTGGGGTGTTGCCAGCCCCAGCACAGGAACCCCTTGTTTCCCCCTTCCACGGAGAGCACTGGCTTTCTGCACCAGATGCAGTGAAGGGAAACTGAGGCACGAGTCAAGCCTGGCTGTTAGTGTCGGTCTTGCCGTGGAGCTGGGCATGCTGTGCCAGGACTAACTGGGCTTTAGCAGCAACACAGAGCTGGTGTGAACCTCTCTCCATGCCCATCACTGCCGCCTCTGACTCCAGCTGCTCGGCAGGTGCCTTCCACCCTGTCATGGTGGGGGATGCTCTGTGCCGCACAGGGACACTGCAGCATAGGCTTGATCGGGCCCTGAGCATCCTCAACTTGAGCACCGTGTCCAAACAAGTCAGGCTTGGCAAAACAGCCTGAATTTTCCAATGAAAAAACCAAAACACTTCCTCAGGAAATTCCCGAGCAGATTTCACTGGAGGAGGGGAGGAGGACGGGAGGGGTCACTTACTTTGTCAGCAGGTTTTGGTCTCCACCACATGGCTGTGGGGAAGAGCAGGACGGTGTCTCTGCGGCACGCAGGGAGCAGTACAGGGCCCTGTGCGATGAAGGGGTGTGGAGGGGCCCCGCCAGGCTCCACACACCCCAGCACCACTGCCAGCTCCTGCTCCCTGTGGCCACACCAACCCGGGCAGGGGCCGGCACCCTCAGCACCAGGCACTGTGCCCCCATGGGAAGCTTTGGCATGGTGGCAGAGGGGGGGATGCTGCTGGAGAGATTCCAGTAATCCCCAAAATCCTCAAATCCTGGTGCCCAAAAGGCGCACGTTGAGGATTTGCTCCTTGCCCCAACCTCAGTTTCCCTTCACCAAAGGCTTCGGGTGCCTTTGGCATGGATGAAACTCTGGTATGGCCCCTGCAAAGCCTCCAGGAGCCACTTCTTAACCGTCTGCCAAAACGGCTCTGGGTAATAAGTTAACCTGGGAATAAGACCTGTTGCTGAGACAGATGCCAATGATTGGGAAGTGCTCATTAGAGGGGATGGAAGGAGGCACTTAGGCCCTGAAAAGCACCCAGCCCTTCCCGGGGCCAGCCTGCACTCTATTAGAGCCCATTTTAAAATAATTGCTCCAGAGGAGGAAATCTCTTTGGATTCATCATAAAGTATTTATTAACAAGAGCTGCAGCCAGGCTTCCTGGCCAGCTCAGCACATCCCCAAGAGGCTTCCCCAGCCCTGGAGAGCAGCACTGACATGCTGGTAGAGGGGGAAACTGTGGCACAGGGCAACAGGAGGGACCCCAGGAACATAGCTGCGGATGGGACAAGCCTCTGCACACCCAACCCTATAGCGGGGCTGCTGTGAGGTAGAACACGTTGTTGTGGTGTGGAGGTGAAGGCAGGACATGATGCAACCATGCCATGGCTCCTCTCCCCGAACCACAGAGTTTTTTGTGCCCCCCTCTCCCCTGAAGAAGACAGCATCCTCCAGCCACACATCCATGTGGGGCTCTAGGCTGGACCATACCCACAGCATGCTCTGGATGCAGCCACCCTGTTGTCAGGAGGGTCAACCAGGATGGATGCAAGCCCTTGTGCTTCATTTACTGCCTTGATCCTCAGCCCCATGCAGGATCAGACTGCGATGGGCTTATAATAAAGTACCTTGCTTGCCACGTGTCTGGGTCCCTGGTGGTCCTGGGACCCTGGGAGCCTTTTGGGCTCCCCATTCCTGGTGCTGCCCACAACCACCCCACCAGGTCCTGTGGGCGCCACGAGCACCAGGTGCTGGGGCGGTGCCGACATGCTGACGCTTGGAAGTAGGGAGCATGCCGAAGCCACAGGTCACGGAAGGCCATCCAGGCAGTTTGCTTAGAAAACAGCAGGAAGAAAAGCAGCTCTCTTCAGGTGCCAAGCACTGCCTGGGCCTGCAACAGCCAGCACAGCCTCTCCTCTCCTGGGGGAGGCAAGCTCTGCCCCCATCATCCCACCTCTGGTCTGTACCCTCACCTCCAACAAGCAGTGTCGCTGGTCCCACCCTGTCTTTGCCAAATACACCCCAAACTAGGGAGTGCTGTACCCGGGGTATGGGATGCCCCAGTGGTGGTACCCTGTGGAGGAAGGGATGGATGGATGGATGCATGGATGGATGGATGGAGCTGGGAGGGTGGTGATGGGAGCACCGCTTTCCGGCAGATCCCTCTGGTGCCTCACTTATCCCATGTGCTGTCCTTGCTCATCCCCCTCTGAATGCAGGAGCCAACAGCTCAGCCACTCCCCCAGGGTGCCCCCAAGATTTGCTTTCAAAGATGGGGAAACTGAGGCATGGCACCGCTGCAGGAGAACAGGGATATGACAGCAGCAGATAGGATCTGAGAAAAGCCTCACAAGCAGCACAAAAGGAGCATGGAGGGGACCTAGCCCATGGCCAAGGAGACATTCCCTCCACCCCGGGAAGGATCCCATGGTCTGCAGCGCTGGGGCCACGTGGCTTCCCAGCCGACCCCCCCCCCCCCCCCCCCCCCCCGGGTCTCCAAAGAAGGGAAATGTTTCATGGAACTGGAAAAAAAAAGCAGCTTTGCCAACAGTACCCAGCGCTGCCAGCTCCTCCACCCAGCCCTATGTCAGCATGGGGCTGAGGGTGCCCCACTGCCCCCCACCCTGCACAATGTGGCTATGGGGGTACCCCACACCCATCCCAGCCTGGGAGCTGCCCCCAGGATGTGGCGCCAGGGTCGGTGACATATGCAACCCCAGGAGCACAGAGAGAAACTGAGGCAGGAGAGACCCTGCCTCAGCATCACTCCCCAGCACTGAGGGAGCCCTCAGGCCCCGCAAGGCCGAGCCCAGGGCTCTAAGCCCAGCTTTAGCCCCTGACACAGGAGGTTTTATTTCCCTCCCAATGTATTTTTAGCCCTGTCTGCTTGTCCTGGCCTTTCCAAGGGGGGAGTAATTCCTCCAACACACCTCCATCACACACCATTAAAGGTGTGGTGGTGCAAACAGGGGTCCCCAGTTCCCTCATGGGGGGGGCCACCAGGGGAAGGGGAAGACCCGGGGGGGTGCCTCTGCACCCTGTGATGGGCTCCCCGTGCTCACCCCACTGCAAATCCAATCCCTGGCAGATTGGATCAAGTC